TTACTATTTATTAAAACTTCCAATTTCTCAGATTAACTTCAAATTTAGCAATCTTTGAAAGAGCGTAATCAACCAGGTCACGTGTTAACTGTTGTGTTAGCCGATTCGCTGTGTTAAATTTCGTTACATTTCTAAGTTTACTCGGTTTATTTACTCAAACTTCCAATTTTTCTCCCCCTACCGTTTCCGTTTGCTCTCTCTGCACCCCCCCTATATAACGCCTCACTACAGAGGCGTTGTTCTGTGTCTCTCTGTGTGTGTCTCTCTCCGTGTCTGTGTTCTGTCTCTCTCTCTCTCAATCTTCCAATTTCTCTCCCCCTGCCGTTTACTATGTATTCAAACTTCAAATTTATCAGACTTAACTTCAAATTTAGCATTATTTCACACCTGATGACGGTTGCTTGTGTTGCAATCGAAACGTCGTGTATTCCATTATTTATTTTATTTTAGTTCTACGTGACTTTACCGAAAGACCAAAGAGTTATTCCTGCAGTCACGAAACCTTCAACTCAAGTTTGTATGGTAAGTATGTTGAACTATTTCCGCGCTGTGCTAAATCGGAGATGCAGGGTAAGGACAAGAAACTGAACAAAAAAAAGCACTAAAACAGGTGTTAAGATGTTAACACACCAAACTGAAACCATTTGCAAGGACTCAAGTCTGCATTAACCATGTAAACTTGTGGTGAAAATAAAATACATGCTCTGACAGTATATGCATTGTCTTTGTTACCGTCAGAGCATGTTTTTGTTGTTTGTATTTTCACCACAAGCAATGTGGTTAATGCAGACATGATTCCTTGCAAAAGGTTTCAGTTTGGTGTGTTAACATCTTAACACAACTGTTTGATTGCCAGAAAGGGGGAAAACCTATTCTTACACGTATTTTGATACTGGCAAAGGAGGTCCCACGACAGTTCTAAAGAAATGACACACATGTACGATGGACAACAATAGGAGGATTAACAGTGTTGCTGTTGTTGTTGTTCGGAAAAGGGGAAGTAAGCGGAAAGAGAGCAAGACCTCACAGAGAGGCTTGACGAGGACATCAGAGGTCGGTGTCAGAAACACATGGCACGACTTAAACATATTGGCACAAGACGGAGGAAAGTTGAAACAAATCACGAAATTAGCACTGGACGCCTATGGGGCTGTCTGCCCATGGATCGTGATTATGATGCTGAAAGAAGGAAATGAGTTTTCATGAATGTAATGAGACTCGGATCTCAGCTTGTTTTTTTTCTTGGGTGGTGGTGGGGGATTTACAAACACATCACCAGCCATTTCACCCCAATCCATGGTTGTGACCGCCAGCATTATCACGCGGCGTTGCCGTCATAAATTGCGAGCGATACCCAGAGGCAACATCGTCAACGTTGGAGATTATCGGGAGCCGAATGCTGCAATTTTCTAATCACAACGTTGTCATCGGCGGAGATAGCCGAGCGGCGAGCGGCAATGCGAGATGCTGCCTCACTTGCCACTCCCAAGGCCGCCGTTTTAACCCCCCCCCCCTCCCCCGTGCATCGAGTATCGTAGTCAGCCGACGAGCAGAGGCACACAGTCGAGTGGTTACCGCACCACGCTACGAACACGGCGACCCCGAGTCCTATTCCCCCGCTCAAAACCAAGAATATTTGACCTGGTCTTGGTCCTCCCCTAGGTCGACTCAGCCTTAAACGAGTACCTGGTTCGGTGGGGGATACATGGGTGGTCGGGCATGGTGTTAGTCACACATTCTCTCGTGTGCTGCGCCGGCCTTTATAGGCGCTCGCTGACAGCACTTGCCCCAACAGTCTGTTGGGCTATACAGGGGATATTTGCCTTTGTAACGTTAGTGAAACCGGGCAGACATTTGAGATGCGTCTTACTTTCCGGAGAATCTTACAATCCAGAGAATACCGTATTAGAAGCAAAACACGTTTTTTTATTGGTTTAACGCGATTTCAGTGAAAAGAACCTCCTCTTGACAAGATTATGACAAGTCCATATTTCTCCAGTGGACTGTGAGCTTCCATCAGGTTCTGCCTTGGGCGTCATTGACACTTTCCCCAATCTTACACGCGAGCTTAACCGGCACGGGGCCCTCACGGGACCGGTGGTTTTCGAATAAAAGCCAGAACATAACAGTGACACTCTGCCCTCTAAAAAGAACATTTGAGTTGAACCCGAGATCAAGCAGGGACCAGGGACTGGGGTTAATGGACTCGATCATTGCGTGCGACATCATTGGCACGGCTCGAGTTACTTCAGTGGGAAAAAAAACACAACCTGACGCGCCTCTTGAAACAGTCCCCAGATGGCCCAAACTAAACGATTTGTTTTTATTGTACCAGGTAAGGCCCTCTGAGCGACCTGGACACAAATGATAGCTCAACGAAGTAGCGTATCGTGTGGAAATGTATAGCAGCCAAATCCTCTCCACATTTAGAAACGCGTGTTTCTAAATGTGGAGGGAAAAAACCAGAGGACCCGGAGAAAAATCCAAGCGACCACGGGGAGGATGTGCAAACTCCAAATATACAGGTGTCGGGGGTCGGGATCGAAACCACGACCTCGTGTATACCGGGCGAGGTAGTTGACATCTCGCCACCGTGGCGCCCTAGCTGGGACGGTTCCCGGCGCGGCTCGGGTTGTCCAGTGGAAAACAAAAAGGTCATATATTTCACCACTTGGTTGCCACCTTTACGCACCGAATTGGTGACGTCCTATGGGGCGACGACTGCTGCGCTCCCCAAAAAGTCTCGACAAATGCCGACAAAACCGCAAGCGAGTCCTCCCCACAGCAGCGGAGGGAGAGACGAGGCTCGAGAGGGTTAAAGATTCCTACACTCCACGCGGGACGACCTTGCCTGCGGGGACTGGAGAAGTCAACAGCAGGTTTCATCCCCTCCCTTACCTCCCTGAAAATAAAAAAAAACCCTCCACCAAGTCCCATGTTTACGGCTTATGCTGTCACTGTAGATTAGGCAGAGCAACGATTCTTGCGCCATCAGCGGCGATCTTAACAAGGTGGCTGCTGCCTCGGGGTGCCGGGGGGCGTGTGGGGGAGGGGGAGGAGGGGAGGGGGTGCCGGGGGGCGTGGGGGTGGGGGTGTGAGAGGGCTGGAGAGGCTCTCGCGTGAATTGTCAGCTTCGCCTCGTGTGTCCTCCTCCGCAGCGCAACTCCGAGCTAAATGGGGCGTTCGAGACGCGTTCATCCACCACGCTGCGGCTCACAACAAACAAAGGCACAGATTCTAAATTTGGAAGCTTTCGTGACTGCAAGGATTCATATTCTTAGGTTTTTTTTCGGTAAAGTCACGTAGGTAAAAAATTAAAATTAATAAAAGTAAAATAAAAATAAAAATCACGACGTTTCGGAGGTTCCACCTGAATACGGAAGCTTGTGTTGCCTCCGAAACGTCGTGATTTTTATTTTTATTTTACTTTTATTAATTTAATTTTTTTACTTACGTGACTTTACCGAAAAAACCTAATAATATAAAGGCAAATATTCCCCCCACGTGGCCTTAACAGACCGTTCGGGGCAAGTGCTGTTAGCGAGTAGCACCTATGAAGGCCGCACGGTACACGATGGGGTAGGTGGCCAGCACCACGCCCGGCCGTCTTTGTCTCCCGAGTGGTGATGTTTACACGCCGTACCAGGCGCTAATTTGAGGCTGGGGCTACCTAGAGGAGGCCCAGGACAGGTTCAAATAATCGTCAGTGGTATTGGCCGTGAGCGGGATTCGAACTCGGTTTGCCGGGATCGTAGTGCAGCACGCTAACTGCTGCACCACCGCTCCCCACGTGATGCAGGACACAGACACGCGCAGGCGTGGTTCGCATCTGCAATCCAGTAAACATGACACAATATATGTCGCGATATGAGGGAAATGTAGAAAAAAACATTGAGATGTACGTCAGATGAGAGTGGAGAGATGCAGACAAGATAGAAACGACACGTAATTAATTTGAGCTGATATTTGATGTACCCGCCCCACCAATCCATTTCATTCCATGCATCTGGTGCACCTTTAGCTGTTTGGTGCCCTGTACTTCTAGATTTGAAGCTTTCGTGACTGCAAGGATTCATACTCTTAGGTTTTTTCGGTAAAGTAACGTAGGTAAAAAAATAATAATAATAAAATAAAATAATAATAAATGAAAATAACTCAATTAAATCACGTTTCGGCAGCAACATAAGCCTCCGTCATCAGGTGTAACTGCTCCAGTAAAATTACTGTAGCTTCCGAAACGTCGTGATTTTATTTAGTTATTTTCATTTATTATATATATTTGTTTTTACCTACGTGACTTTACCGAAAAAACCTAAGAGTATGAATCCTTGCAGTCACGAAAGCTTCAAATCTAGAATGAATGCCCTCTACGGGGAGGAATTTCACCTATCGGCCCTGTACTTGTTGTTGTTGTTGTTTGCTTCCTTCGTTCACGCGTTGCGCCGCCACGGGGTTTGGATATCGCTCGCCACCGTGGCCGGGAATGGAACTCGGCTGCCCTGGTTCGCAGTGCAGTGCTCTAACCACTGCGCCACCGCTCCACGCGCACGCCGTGAGTGAGCGATGCTGCCCCAGCAAGGCGTAGCAGCGTCTCTGCTGGATCGATGGGGGCTATACCGCCTGTCAATTTGCGTCTTGAATTAAGTCCCGTGAGGCCTTTTTTTATTTATTGATATATTTTTTATTGAAAACAGCGGCTATAAATATTTGTAAAAAAATATTTTAAAATGATGATATTTTCGTACAAATATGTTTTTTTTGCATAGTTAGGGTGTTGTTTTATTGGTAGAGCAATGGACTTCATGAGGTCAAGAGGCAATATCCCAGCAAGGGTCATTTTGGTTCACTCGCCTCCGAATCCCTCACTACAACAGCAATTGCCTCTGCGGCTACAACCACGGTTACTGCTCCCATGAACTTCCTTCATCGATTCCTCCTCGCGTGTCGCGAGGACTCGCTCTACACAGATTGACCGTTGCGTCTCAACCGCTACACAATTGGCGGTCGAAACAGGTTCGCTCCGTCACAGCAGCCTGTCAAAGCGAGACGGGGTCGGACGAAGGGGTCGGACGAAGGGGGGGGAGGGGGTCGTTGTCTTTGCTCCACGCGTGACACACGGACGGCGTCTGGATCGTTAAGGCAATCACGTCGGAGGTGGCGACGGCGGGGGGCGAAGGGGGGCGACTCTCTCCCCACGTGTTCCCCGCTGTGTAGTGGCCGAGCGGTCAATTATCGCCGCTACCGAACAGGTACGGGCACGTCTGAATCACCGTCAGCCACGTGTGCGTCCCCCATCCCCCGAATCTCCTTTACCCTCCCCCCCACTCTCCCCCCCCCCCCCCCGTTCTATATTTCTAGTTTCAGATATCTCGTGTTGTACACAACGACAGGGAGTGGGGAGGTCGCAGCCTTCGCGTGGCCCACACTTTTGAGTGAGACATCCACATTGAAAACTCGTTTCTCTAGAGCTGCGTTTTGTGTGTCCTCTCTTCCCCCGCATCTCCGATTAGCCGCCGTTGGCTACGTACGGTGCGAAAGAAGTTTCGCATGCCACATATTGTACAGGCATACGCCGAGAAATGAGTTTATGGTTTCAAAAACCGCTATCTTCTCCAGATTTGTGAGGAGGATATTCAGCGCAACAGTGGCGTCACCCGATGCCAGGTTGGCTGCACTTTAGTCGGGAATAACGCTCAGCGCTGTCGTCTATGTACCTACGTTGAACTTCTTTCGCACCGTACGTAGCCAACCGTGCTAATCGGAGGCGCGTCGCTTGCCATTCTCAGATTCTTCCAAAAGGAAACAAACATTTTTGGTTCGTCCGAAATTTGAACCATCCAACTGATATCGACCATTGCCGGAAATCAAACCCAGGTGGCAGGGCTCATCTCACAGTGCGATAACCGATGGGACACGACTTCACCTCCGCAATACGATACGCGCAGAGCATACATTTATCTACTGAGGAATAGCAGAGTGGAAGGAATCGGAAATTTTTTGTTTTTTACATTTTCAAATTCTGTGCTCCGTTCAGTCTGACTTGCCTCACCATCCTGTCGAGAGGTGTCACGTGCAATGCAAGCTACTTTAAATTTCTCCCAGAGCTCCATCATCGCGCTAACGTGTCCATGACCCCTTGCTTGCAGCTAACTATCATGCCTGGATGAATGCAAATGACATAAGGGTGACTTCGCATTACCAAGTGTGTGTGTGTCTCACTCTCTCTTCCCATCCAGCCTTGCAGCAGCATCAGCAGCCTTTCAGCAGCGGCAGCAGCAGCAGCAGTGTTGGCTATCATTTGTTTCTGGTATTCCCATATCACTCCTCCTTGCTTTCACACCTCCTCCACTCCCATCACTCCACATTTCTCTCTCTCGCTCGCTCGCTCTTATTCTCTCTCTCTCGATCCTCCCCTTCCCTTTCTTTTGAACGCGCTCGTTTGCGTTTCTCAATTATTCACCGTCAAACACATATATCTTGTATATATACAAAAATATAAAAAAAATATATATATAAAATATCTATGTGCCAAATAACAGGCGGCGACGTTTGAACCGTCAAATTCGAGTTGAAACGGCCGCACAGCGTGACGGCGGCGGAGACGGCGTCTTTACGGAATGAGGTCGCAGTGTCTTTGCATGTGGTTGTGCGGGAAGCCGGGTTTCATGACAACTCTACTGTAGCTCCATTCATCACCAGTCGGGGCCTTTCTTTTGTATTTAACGACCCAATTGCGCGTTCTTGGGTTTGTTTGCGTTCCATTCCATTGTTCTTTATAGAAACAGACGGCCAGTCAAACGACCGCCGACCCAAGAAAATATTTTCAAAGCCGGCACACCACGTCCAGTATAGATCTCGCTTTGGCTGTGGCTACTACTAGTCACGTACCAACTACTACAGCCTAACAGTGACCCTGAGAATGTTTCTGCACCCGGAACACCACATCCATTACACCTCTCATCATGGCTGTGACTACTGCTTGTCTCTTATATCCACCCGCCTTTGTCCATCCACCCAGCAGTTTTTTGGGTGCAGCACCGATATTTTCAGAAATTAAGTCGTCTGTAGCTACCCTAGGTGATCTTAGCACTGGCAGCCAGCCAGCCAGGCTGCTGTTATGCTGCAGGGCCCATCATTCAAGATGCTCCTTATTCTGCCAAAGAAACGACTCCTCCTGCGCCACGTCCGCGTGAAGAATTCTGCTCCCGCATCTGGGGATGGGCAGGGTGCGGTGACGAGTCAGCGACTGGGGGTGCGGGTGGGTGGAGGGAGGGAAGGGAGAGAGGGAGGCAGGAGCAGAGGGTGATTTGTGATGAGACGCAGCGAGGGAGGGAGCCGGAAGTTCGTTTGATAGTCAAAATAGAGAGCTTACCGCCAACGTAGCGGCCTGCCTGCCTGCGGAACAAAGCGACGGATCTGCATAAATCCGTGCGTTTAATTCCACCGGATTGTCTTCGTAAACCGCCAGTTTTTCACGTTGTGCCATTGTAAGCCATAAATGCGTCAGATTCCCAAACCAATGCAGCGAGTTTGTCTTCATGGAATGCACGACTCGAAAATAAATAAATAAGCATCGCTCTCGTCTCGCAGATGCACGCTCACGAAGCTCCTCTTTTGGGTCCGTATCCCGCCAGTTTGAAGCAGCAGATAATGAGTAAAGACTTTAAAGTAACGCCAGAGTGTGGAATTTTATGTGTATTGCCATCGGGTACGCATTGACGGCCCCGTACCGGTTTTACGATTTTTAACACTCGGTAAACGGTCCGCGACATCTTGAGACGTATTAAGGTTCGTTTAGCGACTTTGAAAAAAAAATAAACTTTATTCACATTTTTGGACGCACGATTCATTCCCCGCATCAAACGCTGCGCCCGGAAGTTACACAATCGTACGTATAGTTGATTTCAACGTCTGTTGTCTTACAGGGGTTGGCTACGTTTTTGTATCTTCTGTAAATGCGTGGTGGGAAGGAGGGAGGGGAGGAAAGGCGAGGGAGTTAAGCGGCTAATTCATGATGTGAAGGAGTTTCAGCATCTTGAACTTGGTTTTTATTCCGTCTTCAGCACGACACGTCACAATATCAGAGGATCACTCCGTTCAGGGGTCTGCCAAACCTCCCTATCGCCTCCTTCCTTCTACCCCCTCCTCCGTCCTTTCTGGAACTTTCCCTGCCTCTCCACCAAACCGCTTCCTTCCTCCTAACGATCTCCCAATCGACCGCTCATTTCCATTTTGGATTTGCCCCGAACATTTTTCAAATAACCGCGATGACCAATTCGACGTCAATGTTTCTCCGCCTTCAAATCCCCATTGTGATGTCATCTACGTCGCCTCCCCCCACCCCCGCCGAATAGGGTTCACCTCGTGGCATCCCTTACATGTGGAACGGGGGTGAGCTTGATCATGTCCCTCGAGGAGTGTCTCGTGTGCCTGGCGCCAGGGTCTCGAGCGCAATGTTCTTCACAAATGTTCAGAGGTGGTGGGGGTCGAGGCTGCTCTGTCACCGATGAGACATTATCAGTGTGTGTGAGGGCTGCCACACATTTGAACCCATTATGATGATGGTGGGGGGAGGGGGGTGTTGTCACATTTGTGTATCGCCAGGGGCCAGTGACCCACGGGTCTTCCAATGAAGAACACTGATCTCAGGGGTTGGCTACACCACCTGGGGGGGACCCTGCCAAGGACGCAATATTCCTCCAGAATACATCTTTAAAACAACAAAAAATCCTCCTTTTGTCGCCTAGATCCGTGGTTCAATCAAATAAAACAAATCACTGATATGAGCAGCCACACGGGTCCTCCTGATAGGTCCAGTGAACACGCCACGGGTAGGCCAATCGTGAGGCGATAAACAAAACGGGTGCGGTAGTAGATGCGTTCCAAAAAAGGGGCGCACAAAGCGAAACTGCACACGGAGATAGCTGCCTACCGAGTAGCGCAAACAGTACACAGACACAGTACACACACACACAGTACACACACACATTATACACACACAGACACACAGTACACACACACCGTACACACACATTATACACACACACATTACACACACACACCGTACACACACATTACACACATATTACACACACACAGTACACACACCGTACACACACATTACACACACACAGTACACACATATTACACACACACAGTACACACACACCGTGCACACACACATTACATACACAATACACACACAGTAAACAAACACAGCACGCACACAGTAAACACAGCACACACGTAGTAAACACAGCGCCCGCACAGTACACAGTAAACACAGTACACCCACAGTACACACACAACGTTGTCCCACGTCCGACCGCATAGCCGCGTGTGAGTGAATTAAAACCGCATAGAGCCAATTTTGCGTTGAAATATACAGCGCGGAATCGCACAAAACGAGGGAAACACTGCACGTGTTGTGTGGAAACAACAGGGTTGATGGCTGCACAGATGTGTCTGCTTATTGATGTCGAGCAATTGATTCCGACGGTACGGACAGATACGTCCATCGAGCCGCGCGTGTAAGTTTCGAAATTATTTCGGTTAATCGAAATGGGTCCACGTGACCACGATCGGGGACACCGAGTTAGTTGTCCGCTAAATTCACCGCCGCAAACGTTGCAACAGCAGATAATTCCACGTGGCATCGAAACCGTGGCTCGGATTCGCCTGGTTGGGTGGATTGCGTGGGACACACGATTAAACCTCTTAAAATTCTACTTACAAACACTCGGCGCTGAATAATTCTCTTTAATTTAGTCGAGGAGATTAAACTGAGACACGGATCCGAGGAGGAGAGAAATATAAACGAAAGCGGCCTCTCACTTCTCCGCGGATCTTAGGAGTCGAAAAGCAGTTAATGAGCTCGTGTTTTGGTCACAGTGACACACGGGGGGGGGGGGGGGGTGGGCTGGCAGCCAGCGCTTAATCTAGCTAAGCATGTATTTCCAGGCCCCGACAACACACACAGCAGGTTCTCATTTCAGCCTGAGGTGACCCACGGGAGACCCCTCATTTAGATACAGACACTGATTGATGCTTCGAGGTGGGGGGCGCAGGGCGGGGGGAAATCAGGAATCGAGAGCGGATTCTTGGAGGCTTGTCTACGTTGTGTATTCGCCATGACCCCGATGCGCACAAAGTCAAAGGTCCCCCCCCCAACCCACTCACCCACCCCCAATAATAGTTTCACAGATTGTGAAGGGCAAGGGCTGTTAGTGAGCCCATTTGAAGGCCGGCACGGTAGTAATTGTATTGCGATTGTGCAATACGAATGTGCAGGGTTATTGCACAATCACATTCGCGGTGCGTTGATTCGGTGGTGATGCTTTGGTGGTGGTGGTGACGATGGTTGTGATTTTGGCGGTGGCGTGGTTGATTATGGTTGTGGCCAGGACTTCATTTCTCAACTGAAGATTGTCCGGGTAACAAGTAATCACGGCCACAGTGGGAGGGGAGGTAAATTGGACGTGGTGTGCCGAGGTGTGGACATATTATCTGGATCGTCAATTCCGGAAGAAGTCCTGTCTGATATTGAACCCTGTTTGTGAGCATGCTGATGATGTCGTTGGTGGGTGTTTGATAGTAGTGGTGATTATTTTAGCAATTCTGTTTACCGTAAGCAAATGACGAAATAACATCGGGCAACCGTGCAACGCAACTGCAGGTTGTCCTTCCGTGTTTTAATTAGACGCCCTTGGAAGCCGAGCTGCCCTTGAAAAAGGGCTGTATAGCCTAATGGGCTCTACTTGGGAAATAAACTTACGATTTTGACGAGTTGGGAGTCCAGTTGACCATGGGAGTCCAGTTGACCATGGGAGTCCAGTTGACCATGGGAGTACAGTTTACCATGGGAGTTCAGTTTACCATGGGAGTTCAGTTTACCATGAGAGTCCAGTTTACCATGGGAGTTCAGTTTACCATGGGAGTTCAGTTCACCATGGAAGTCTAGTTTACCATGAGAGTCCAGTTTACGATGGGAGTCTAGTTTACCATGGGAGATCAGTTTACCATGGGAGTCCAGTTTACCATGGGAGTTCAGAGTCCAGTTTACCATGGGAGTTCAGTTTACCATGGGAGTTCAGTTTACCAATGAAGTTCAGTTTACCATGGGAGTTCAGTTTACCATGGGAGTTCAGTTCACCATGGAAGTCTAGTTTACCATGAGAGTCCAGTTTACCATGGGAGTCCAGTTTACGATGGGAGTCTAGTTTACCATGGGAGATCAGTTTACCATGGGAGTCCAGTTTACCATGGGAGTTCAGAGTCCAGTTTACCATGGGAGTTCAGTTTACCATGGGAGTTCAGTTTACCAATGAAGTTCAGTTTACCATGGGAGTTCAGTTTACCATGGGAGTTCAGTTTACCAATGAAGTTCAGTTTACCATGGGAGTTCAGTTTACCATGGGAGTTCAGTTTACCAATGAAGTTCAGTTTACCATAGGTAGAGGTAGGTAACTTGCGGCTCCGTAGCCGCACGCAGCTCTTTAATGACTGCTGCGTGACGTTCTTGATGAATGACAACCACCGTCTCGTATTCTCATTGCGGCTCTTGACATATTTGGTGGGTTTTTTTTTTACGGGAGTCCAATAAAAGAGACATTTTTTTGTTATCTTGTCTGCCGACCCCTGTGCCAATTCTAACACAGGATGCCAATGTCCAGACTGCTCGAGACAGACCCAGACAGGAGGGCAACCGTAGCCTCGCCACGCTGTGCGGGCTACCGGCGGTACTTTGACCATACTTCACCACGCTGGTCAGTTGATGAGGGCGGGGAGCATCGATGTGAACGCATAGAACAGTGGCCTTGCTCCACCGCCCTCTGCTGTCCATCAGGTATGGTGGTCAAACCCATTCAAGCATTATCCAGGCTCAAACCCCGCTTAGCTTCCGCTTCTGCGTCTACATTTTGGTCGAACGAAGTAGTGGGAAACTGGTATTGTGAAAATCGTCAAATCGCGAAACAGGATATCGTATCGTATCGCGGCCAACTTTATAAGTCGAGTGCCTTCGAAGGGCGTCCGATCTTCAGGCGGAGAGCGCCGCCGCGTGGCGAGAGAGCGAACATTGCACACAAGAAGTCTACATTGTATTTCGATTTAAAGCTTTCGTGACTGCAGGGATTCATCTTCTTGGTTCTTTCGGTAAAGTCACGTAGAAGGGAAATAATAAAATAATAAAATTAAACCTAATAAAATAATTCTCACGACGTTTCGGCCACAACGCAATCAGCCGTCCTCAGGTGAAGAACAGTCAGACGCTGTCTTTCCGACAGACCTGTTCTTCACCTGAATTATTTTATTATGTTTTATTTTTATTATTTTATTATTTCTCTTCTACGTGGCTTTACCGAAAGAACCAAGAAGAACTCTACATTGGTTCATAACACTATGGCCTTAAACTAAAAAGTATTTAATGTGGGCGACGTTTCGGGCAACGGCCTTTCTTCATAGCACAAGTATACTGCATCCGTTTTGATCGACCACGTGTTATGAAAGAGGGGCCATTTGGTCTAAACGGCGCCTATTGTATATTTTGTTCCATTGAAGGCAGTGATGTTGATGTATCCGTTGAATTTGTTCTTGTTCGTTGTGCTCGTGCACCACCGCCGACACAGAAGCAGGCTCACCAACAACTCATTTCATTTATACTGCAGAAATATAAGAGAATGGTACCGCATTAGAACATTAAGCCAGCACCATCAGCTAAGATCAATTCCACTGCCCGATGGAGGCTTCCCCAAGGCGTCACCACTTCGCATAGTTTCTGCGACGCAACAATCTACATAACGCGTGTCCACGAGCTGAATTCATCACTCCATCTCCTCCGCAGACTCCTCTTAAATGCGTTTCATTCTACGGCTGCTGTCTCTTGTCGCCAAGAATAGATTAACACGGTTGGCTACGTACGGTGCGAAAAAAATTCAACATATCATTGCAGCATGAAACCATAAAACACGGAATTGTGAAGTCACAGGGGCAGGATATTGCAACAATGGAAGCTCCGTTGAAAGTAGTGAGTGTCTTTACAAATAAATCTGAGATATTTGAATGAAAATGTATTCATATTCAGGCAAGTAACTTTTATCAACTTTCCAAATCATAATGGGTTCTCTTCAACTATAAAGCCACCCAATTTTCAGTCCAATTCCCGGCCATGGCTAGCGTCGGTGGCAAGCGACATCTGAACTGTTCCCTGTGGCTCCCTCCCTTCACCAACTCGCACGGACCAGCGTGGTGAAGTATGGTCGAACAACCGTCTTGACCACCAAACAGCACGGCATGGGGAGGGCTTCATCCACCAATGGATTGGTAAAGGGCTGTCGGTGGTTATTATCATATTATTACGTATTTATATAGGCGGGTGCTTTAGTCACTGGCTGCCCCAAGGAGGAGGTGTGGAAGGTGTGACCATAGCAACTGCAGCAGTAGCAGCAGCAGCACGTCTGATGGCAAATCAGGACACTCCATTACATGGCCAAAGCCACCACGCCCAGCCACTCCACAGCCCAGTTTAGTCACTCACGGAAATGTACAGTGCAGAAGGACTCTTGACCCGAGGCACCGGTCATACCAAAGTGCTGACCTCTTGTATGTATGTTGTATTGTATGTAGCCAAGCGTGCTCATCCGAGGTGTGGGGGAAGGACAACAATCTAACACACATAAAGCATCTCTCCAAACCGAACCATGCACTGCATATGAACTACATAAATAGAGATGCATTACACATGAGCGTACACTATTTTGGTCCTCCCATCAGCCTTGTGAGACTTTTTGAGATCGATTTAAGTCATTATCGTCACCATCAGCAGCCACGATCAATTTCACTGCCGGATGAAGGGCGACCCAGACGTTGCCACCACCTCCACTCTCACGAATCCTGCGAAGGAAACATCCACCCAGCGTCAGCACACGAGACATTCCTGTGTTCTATCTCCACCTAACAAACAAAAACCCCGTTAAATATCGTGTAGGACATCACGTGAACCACTAGGTTTGTGATCATTGTTTTTTTACCCTTTTATCTGGCAACAAAACTGACACCTTTTTTACAAGGAGTCATGTTTGCATTGACCACAATACCTGCGGTCGGAATGCAAACAAAAAACACAACTGTGATAATGTATGCACCAGAGGTGGGACAAAGTCATTGTTATGCAAGTCCAAGTCGAGTCTCAAGTCATCAAATTCATGACTCGAGTCTGACTCGAGTCCAAGTCACATGACTCGAGTCCACACCTCAGAGGTGGGACAAAGTCATTGTTATGCAAGTCCAAGTCGAGTCTCAAGTCATCAAATTCATGACTCGAGTCTGACTCGAGTCCAAGTCACATGACTCGAGTCCACACCTCTGGTATGCACTGTCCTTGAAATTGATTGGTCCACACCCGAGACAGCTTTCCTTAGAGCCTAGTCTCACATGGTGTTGGACCAGATGACGCCAAAAGGCGCACAACTCAAAGACAATGCACCATCAGAGTATGAGAGCTCGGGGTAAGCATTTACACCACTGGAACCTCCTTTGCTAGTAGCAAAATATGATTTAAAAAAAATATATAAACATGACTCCTTGTAAAAAGGTGTCAGTTTTGTTGCCAGATAAAAGGGTAAAAAAACAATAATCATATTTTGCTACTGGCAAAGGAGGTTCCAATGGTGTGAACACTAGGTTTGTGGCAAGCGTGTTTTGATTAACCAGGTGAGAACTCAAGAGACCACCAGGATATCCTCAGCTATAAGAGAGACCCTGGGTCACCAAAATTACAAAATCAAACAAAGTATAATTACAATAATATAAAGCGCGGCCAAATGAGCTTCTACTCCATCAGCCTATGAATGTTTAGTCCATCTGTCAATTAAATGTTAGTCCATCAACCTATTATCTTTTCAGACTGGTATTATTCAGCAGAATGTACATAGACAGTATATACATTAAAAAAATCAAATAAAGTATCACGTGTGGTAGACCTGCACCGATTCCCACTACCACCACAGCTCACCGGAGCAGTGTGATAAATATTAACGATTCAGTCACGATTTAAGAATGTCTTATTTTTAAGATATAGTTTTTCCCGTTTGGTTTGCTCTGTTAGCCTAAATGTAACAGCATACAATTAGAATAACAGTTCTAAATTTTTTACACTTCAGAATTAAGGCTTTCTCTCACCATGTCTGTCAATGAGGATTGATTGACCATACTTCAGAATCTGAATATGTATACTGAATGAATTAGATGAGCTATAAAGATGTTTTTTCACAGATGTCCAGTTGGGGCGGATCAAGCTGGCGAGTGTGGGTTGGTGAAGGAAGACGCTTGGTAGGGAGCCCCATGACCAGTTCGGACATCACTCGTCACTGATGTTCGCGATTGGCGAGAATCATAGCCAGGTCACCGGATTATTATTTTACTACAACCATTTGTCATTCCATTGTTGGATGAAAGCTTCCCCGTGCCATGTCGATAATGGGAGTTTTTTTTTTTTGACCCAAACTTCATCACGCCGGTCAGTAAGGCAGAGGTCGCAAACGGGTTTTGATTCCTTACCCGTACCCGGCCGCACCAGGGTCGCAAACGAGTACCCGTACCCGGCCGTACCCGTACGGGTATCGGGTACCTGATTGCGACCTCTGGGATGAAGCCATGTTGCAGGCGCGGGTGGGTTGATTCTAGGAACTTGAATTGTGAGAAGAGACAAGACGTTGGGAAATGAGCGACAAACAGTTACTCACCAGTGACTCACGGTCTACCCGTACCCGTACCCGGCCGCACCGGGTACGGGTACGGGTATCGGGTACCCGGTTGCGACCTCTGCAGTAAGGGTTGCTGAAAGGGCTGGGAGCCCAGAACCGGTTCAATTTAACCGTGGACGTGAATGGAACTCAGTTCGTCGGGTTTACAGCACAGTGGACATCAATGGACCGTGAGGGATGGCGATGCTTTTAGGTTCTAGATTTGAAGCTTTCGTGACTGCAAGGATTCATATTCTTAGGTTTTTTCGGTAAAGTCACGTAGGGTAAAAAAGTAAAATTAATAAAAGTAAAAAAAATTTCAGATAAAAAATTCAAATTAATAAAAGTAAAATAATAATATTTTTTATTTTACTTTTATTCATTTTAAATGTTTACCTACGTGACTTTACCGAAAAAACCTAAGAATATGCTTTTAGGTGGCCGTCGGTTCATGGAAGGCCAGCAGCGGCTTGATGATGAGCGATGAGGAAGTGTCTCAATGTTTGAAACACGTGCGACCAGTCGAGAGATGACTTCAACGCTGGCGAGTCCGGAATGTGAGCCCCACCAGTTTCCTGCTCCCAATTCCCTCCTCCTGTCCCCCTCCGCTTGCCTCCCTCCGGCAGAACAATTGCAGGATGTGTGCAAATTGAAATGTACAACTGCTGATTGTGCTCCGTTGAATATGGAATATTCACGTGTGCATTAGGTACGTTTTGTCATGCACATTTGAAACATTTCCCTCATGCTGAGAGACGTAAACGTTTTGGTTTTACATTTGTGAAGTGGCTACTCACCAGATTCCCTTGCCAGTTTTAAACCGGTTACGATTGGTCAGTGTCAGTTGAACATTAAAATATCTGCCAAACATTTTTTGTGATTTTCTTTTTTACCAGTGATGTCCGTTCATGGTGTATTTACGGGACTAGATTTGAAGCTTTCGTGACTGCAAGGATTCATACTCTTAGGTCTTTCGGTAAAGTCACGTCGGTAAAAAAATAAATAGTTAAAGATACAGCAATCGTGCTGTGACGGTTCCACCTGAAGACGGAAGCTTGTGTTGCCTCCGAAACGTCGTGATTTTTATTTTATTTCTATTATTTCTTCTATAATTTTTAGTTATTAATCTGTTATTATTTATTTATTTTATCTACGTGACTTTACCGAAAACACCTAAGAGTATTTACGGGACTGTCTGAACCAGTGCTATCCTTCAGGGTGCCATGGTGGCGTGGAGGTGTTACCCGCCTCGCCTGTTACACAGGAGGTCGGAGGTTCCAGCCTCCTGGGACAAAATCACCAGCTTAGTTTGCATGTTCTCTCTCCCCATGGTAGCCGCGTCGATTTTTGTTTCACCGGTTTCCCCTCCGAGTTTCACCAGAACCATTTATAAAAATGTGTTTAGATTATTTGGCTTCGACTCTCACTTCCCACGTGTGATGATGATGATGATATAAGTCACTTCGATGAGCCAGGAGACCAGGTCGACTGAAAAAGAGCTTAGAGCTCAGTGGGCTTCACCTGGTATGTAAAATAGTTTTCATGTAATAAAAAAAAACAGGTTTTACATCATCTTAATTTCAATGTTTAAATAAACATATAGAATATAGATGTGTATACATCTTTTTTTTTACCAACGTAACTTTACCGAAAAAACCTAAGAATATGAATCCTTGCAGTCACGAAAGCTTCAAATCTAGAATGTGTATACAGCTTTAAAAAAGTTATACTTTTATCATGAATAGCAATTGCCGTGTCTGTTAACAGCATTAGTTAATTCATTTTTTTTATTTCGGTTCGAATTTATTTTGTCCTCAACTTGGCATTGTTTGAAGCTATGGTTACTAGGTGACGATAATAAAAATGCCTACAGTGTGTACGAAGCAAGTTTTATGCAGGTCATAAAAGAGGGACTGTATCCCAGAATGTCAATAGCTTCTCGACTGCTTCGATTTCAAACAGTATCCAGTCAATTCCCATAAATTCGACAATAAACTGAAGGGACTGCATTAGCAGTGATTGACAGGCACAACTCAAAAGCACACTCAACAAAGCTGCAAAATAACAGCGCAATATATAGCTGGATGACGTTTCAAGTAACGTCCCTTCTTCGGAGCAGAGAGAGAGAAAGAGAGCCCCCATAGATATATTGACCGATTTGTGGTGGCAGATCGCACCTCACGCTGAGTCTCGGGAAACGTGAAGATTTTGTTGTTTTTTCTTGGATGTTTCTGTTGCGCGACGTCACTTTGAGATGTTCTTTGTTCATGTGTTTGTTTGTTACGGTTGCACCCGAGTCAAGAGCCTCATGGCTCACAGGGCTCTACCTAATAAATGAAACTGAAAAAAAAACTGGGACATTTTGAGCAAGATTTTCGGAATTCAACACGTTATTTGGTAATGCCGCTACATTGGCAGTGGCGCACATTCACCAATAACAATTCCTCGAAGAAATGTTTTTATATAATAGGCGACGTTTCGGACAATGTCCCTTCTTCATGGCACATAAGAGGCCAGAGATTAGAGGGAATACGATTCGGTGGGTGCACTTTACACCCTGGAGCTCGGTAAATATTTGTTTTTTATTCACATATGGATAGTTACATAAGAGCAGCTATTGAATAACAGTTATAACACACCACTTAAATAAATAAAATCACGTTTCTAAATAAACTAACAATAACGCTGAAGGATACATTATAAAAGGTTGCTGAACGCTGCATCGCAGTACATAGAGAGAGTGCATCAGAGGTTGAGAGAGCATTTTGAAATTTTGAAAGGGCACATTTGGAATTGTCAGATGACGAGTTTTCCGCGAATCTAAATCCTTGTAAATGCCCATTTTGGAAATCGTGTAAATAATACAGGTGGTTAGCACTTAACGATCTATAGTTGTTTGAATAATACACCCGTAGCTAAGGATCATCAGCAGCCGTATCCATCTCTCACGGTCCTTGAATGCAAGAATCTACCCGGCGTCCGACAAAGCAGATCGAACCGCTCCATCTCAACGCGTGCCCTCCACGTGGACGTCGTAACAGGGCGGGGGCACTGGTTACGTTCTACCGGCATAACTGGTTGTATTGCGAGCAAAGCGCAGCCTTGAGTGCTATTAACTTGTTTGGAACCAGGTGCATACAATTGTGATGGGGGGTGACTGGCTTCGTGATAACAATGCCCACTTGATTGGTGAAATCGGGCATTTTCGTTACGCAGGGTGTGCCCTGGTTAATTGGCTCAGCTGCTGCTGTATAAAGGGGCTGGAGAAGAAAGGCGAGAGGCCGCGTTCGGCGTATTCACACTGCTGGTGGAGGTGGTGCCGACGGTGATGGCGTTGCGAGCCTGTGAGTTTTGGAAACGATGGTGCAAATTTGTTTTGTAGTTAATTCGTTGGAGTTAGAAGAATGGTTTTGCAGACCCGTTGCCAACCCACACCCCCACTGCCTTGCTGTGCAGTTCTTACTCGCCAGCCAAATATCTATTCTAGTGGGAGAGGTGATGGCAGCTATTCTGCCTACAATCACTTTATTAGCTCTTCGCGGAGGATTGCTCAATGGTGTGCAGTCTTTCTGGATTCGATGCAATAACCCAATGTCACGTACACGTGGTGGGCTTGACCGCCACAAAATATAATAACAGCCATTCGGACTTTTTTATTTGCCGTCTCCCATGAACGATTCTTCGGAACTAGATTAATAGGACCATTGGGCATCCATTACTTCGGTTGTGGATGTTTGTGCCGCTGTGGTCTGTTCCAAAAGTGGGGTGATGTGGAAAGGGAATTTAGTGCGGTTGGCCTATAATCGAACAATGAAGCTGGGCAAAATCTAAATACTTGTGGACTTGCCAGCTTGGGTTTAAATGTCTGCACTTGTGTGTCGTTTTCTTTGTTTCCGCAGACGAGGCCCTTTTTGATGAGCACAAAACACACAACGCCACACGCTGCGGTCTTTGTTTCCATAGCGGGAGGTCATGTGGTTCCCCAGGTGGGGCCAGAGTCCCTTGTCACATGGTGGGAGGGGGGGGGGGCACCTGTACAGCACTGGGTGGACCCCCCCTCCCCTACCCCCTGCATTGTTGCTAATTGGATAGGTGCGGAGGTGTGAGCTCAAAATAGGTGGACAAAGAACTGGAAAGGGCCACATGCTGCAATCGAGAGTAGCCCTCTAACCCGAATGGCTAACTACTGTAGCTTCTGTTGGTAACCTTAACCGTCTCACCGTCACCGACTAGCCAACCTGCCGTAACTAACCTTCCTTTCTAGCGCTAACCAAGTACCGTACCCAGTGTTTTGACCGATGTTCCATGTGCAGTATAAACTAGCTGTATCCATCGAGCCATAGCCAACTCGGCAACCAGTCGCTAGCCACCAACCCTCCCCCTCGCTAACTATCCAGCGAGTTCAACCAAGCCACGAGCGGTAGAAGGCAGGGCCTGGTGTGCGTGTTTGATCAAAGTGTGCTTGTGTAACCTTCACCCGCCCCACCCCCACAGTGTAATGTGACTGACGCGGTCCTTTTATAAGCTGTTCATAATCCAGCCTTTTCCGCTTTATAATATTGCAAATGGTTTGTGCGCGCGAAAAAGGGCTCTTGACTTGGGCAGTGGGAGAACATTGGGGCGTGGTTTAAAATAAAAAATCTACCCATTATTATTTTAAAAAAAGACGACATGCAAACGACCTGCAACAGCTGCCCCATGGCCAGCGACAAATATGCAGCCTCGCCTAGAGCCCCCGGAGTGCCGCGCCCACGTGGCCAACAGCTGATCGCAGCGCCACGTGTAGCACGTGGCGGTGTCTGCTCTTGTTCGTGAGTCACCGCTTTCTGATGCTGATGATTCACAGTTTGGGGAGCGACGGTGGAGTGCTCACGATTGCCACTGGTGGCCAGTAACTCCGCGTAGATGCGCGCATTGGAATCGATTCAACATTTCGTTGCCGTAAAGTGGCTTTGTGCGTGTGCCGAGCGACGAACTTTCGTGCACTAACGTGGCCAGAACGGTCAACACTAACAGCCGTTGCGAAGGAAATGAATTAGAAGTGCGTAACGCAGGTTGCTTCCTAATATCGGAAGGCTAAATGCGTGTGGATATGCGGCTTGGTTGCAACTCGTTGACCTGAAACGACCATCGGGCTTGGTAAATCCACTGCTGGATGAGAGGCCTCCAAAAATCGTCGCGAATCAAGAGTTGGCGCATGCGCACGGACCGAGTACATCGTTCCATCTCCCTGCTTAACGTGCCCTTGGGATTCGTTTCCATTCCTAATTGGGCATGACCATTATGTTATCTTCGTCGGGCATGGGGTTCGTCCTCTGCTGGATGAAAGCTCCCTCCCAAGCCGTCGCTATCTTACGGTGCAATGGCTTGGCAACCCTCATCATTGTGTCTTGGCCACCAGCTGTCCCCATGGCTCCTCGCCAAAGGCCCCCTCCACCACCCCCTGTTGTTTCTTCTCTGGTTTGATGTCGTTAACCTGCGGTTATAAGCTTGTTCAATCCACGTTGCTCCGTGTGTCTCCGATGCTTTGAGCAACTTTTCAGTGTTGTCCACTGCTGTGATTTTTTTTTCCTCCCGGTTTGTCGTTCCGACCGATGTGTCTGCAATTGTCTAGCGGATTCCGTTGTTGCATATGATGACCACTGTTTTGCTCCGAGTTTATCCTGTGCCCCATGTTTTGCAGCCACTGAAACGAGTATCTGCTTACAGAATCTCTATACTAGAAGAATCCGTTGAGCTATAAAGCGCTTTTACACACTTGTCCAATAACCTTTCCAGCCGGTCACTCCCACTGGACATTATGACGAGTCAGTCTTCTGAAAATCTTGAAAATAATTCCCATTTGTTTTGAAACTTCTGCTGCAAACGGCGATGTTTCAGCATGGTCCAACTCTTCGGCAATGCAGAGTTTAATTTTACCTTTGGCGTTATCATTAGTTTATTTAGAAACGTGCTTTTAAGTTGCGTGGTGTTCAATAGCTGCCCTCTTGGGTAACTATACATATGTTACTCAACAAATGTATCGTGCCCCAAGGTGTAAAGTGCACACAACGAGTCGTATTCTCTCTAATCTCTGGCCTCATGTGCCATGAAGGACCATTGTCCGAAACGTCGCCTATTATATTCAGAATCGGAACCTTTAACGCGACGAAACATGCTGAGGTTTGATCCTACGGTGTAAACTGATTTCCTGCTCCAAATTCACATTGAGGCAGTACTCATCTCCAGCTTTTGCAGCCCCTTTGCCCAGTGGTGACAATTCCACATTCCTATGGCGCGCGTGTTTGTGTTGAGCGCGGGAATCGGTTAGTCGGTGCATACTTTAAATGACCAAGTAAGCAGACTGCCTTTGAGACGGAGCATAACGAATCCGTCTGTGCAGAAGAGACAGAGGGGGGTGAACGCTGGGAAGAGACGTGGGGTCAGGCCTTCAGCCAGCAGTGGACAGACCATGGCCGGTGATGATGAATTGAGGATGTGAAACCGAAGAATTGGATATTACCACATGGCGATTCGATTCCACGTTGTAGAATCGATTCTGAGACATCGATTCCTATTTTGTACGCGTTTCGTTTGCGATGTCTCTCGGTTCTATATCCTCGCCGTCGAGTTCCGCCGTCTGCTCGGCGGCCATCTCGTGCCTTCCATCCACCTCGATAAATAACCCCATTGGTAATTAATAACCGTTAATTACGAACGAATCGCTAATCGATTCGCTGCGTCCATTTAGTAATCGATCCAGACGGGAGCAGTTTGAAGCGGGGGTGCGGGACGGGTGCGGGTGCGGGTGGGGAGGGGTGGGGGGTGTTGGGGGGGGGGGGGGGTCTTGCGGCAGATGACGTCATTAGCCCCCCCACCGGAGCTTATATAATCACGTGACACTCCGACCGCCTCCCTCTTTCGCTTGTGGCATCTTTAGGTGGGTCTCGTCTCAACGCGGCCCTCCGTCGCTTTTGCCGGCTTCTCGCTTGCGGTAACACAAAGGAATCCGTTTAAGATCTCGCACTTTCTTCGGCCATCCGTTTGGGAAATTGTTTTATTTTGACGCGGGTGATGTTGTAGTGTCGTGCCGCGATGTTAGTTTGCGATATTTTTCGACGCTTTAGTGTGTTATTTGTGTCGCGGTTTTGAGTTGGTTGGGTTTTGTGTGGCAAGGCCCGGATACACTTGTAAAGTCTTTATAGGCCTTGCAACTGTGGTGGTTAGCTATAGAGCGATATATTAATTTCCTTTTCTCGTTTAGTGTTCTCCGGCCTGCACCGTCGTGCTGTAAAGGCGAGTGGTTTAAACTACTTTTGGATTTTGTAATTTTATTTTC